CAATTTTTTGCAAAATATTTTTTTGCATTTTTTTAAAATGGGGGCCTCTGGACAGTCAGGAGGGCACTACAGCAGTGCATTTGGGCAGGTGGGGGGCTAATCAAGGAATCATACGGCCCTTGGTGGGCGTTTCTCCTCTTGGGGCCAAAGAGGAAAAGTCCCCCCCCCTTTTTTTTTAAGTAGGGAACGTGTCCCAGCCAGGACCTTCCTGCCCACCCTGATCCTCGGGGCCCCCAGTCCTCTTTTTTTCAAGAAATCCTGAACAAAGTGTCCGATGTTTGCCGAGTTTAGCCACGGCGAGCATTTGGCCCAGCACAGATGGCTCTTGGGGTGGGCAACCTGGCCCCTGACCCTGGCTGATTTTCCAGGTGGGGCGGGTCCTTTCGGCCAAGAGGGGCCAGGCAGTGGAAACCCAGCGTCCTTTGGGCAACTGGCCATTGGCACTTTCGCTGGCTGGCGACTGTGTCTTGCTTTCCCGCTGCCCCACTCTGCCCTTTTCTCTGCCGGTGGCTTTTGCCGATCCCCCTTTCTCTTGGTTCCCTCTACCCACCCTCCTTCTCTCTCTCTCTTTCTCTCTCTCTCTCTCTCTCTCTCACTCACACACACACACACACACACACACACAGAGCCTTCCTCTCTCTTTAACCCTTCCATCCACACTGCTCGGGGCGCCAGTTCCAGGCCTGCCTTCTCTCATGGGCTTTGCAAGAGATTTGGCCTGATAGGGAGGACAGAGAGGCCATCTAGTCTGACCCACCCTCTGGCACAAGGCCAGAAATCCTACGTTCGAGCTGGGGAGTGGCTTTTCTGCGTTGCTTCAGAGGTCACTTTAAGGAACTCTCCTGGTTCCTTTTTAGAAATGGAGGAAAAGAAATTTTACTTTTTTGAGTAACTTTGCAAATGGTGTCATGCCAGTTAAGGATGGCATGTGGCCTCCCCTCCCCCTTGCCTCTGCATTCAGAATAAATCTATGGCCGAGTGAAAAGTTGGAGAAAGAGGAGTTGGGTGGAGGAATAATAACTGCAAACCTTGTTTTAATTTGAGATCTGTTGGCTTAAATTAGCGCAAACTTTTTGTAGGGAAAATCACCCTAGCAGATTTAATTGTTTAACAGGGATGTGTTTGCCATCTTGTAGTTGAAGAAGAAGGTGGGATTTCTCTCCCCCCATTTTTTCTTCAATTAACATTAATTGGGGTTTTTCTCCCTCTTCTTGTCGTTCACAGCTGAAGCCCCGAATCGCCTGCAGTCCTGGGTGGGCCAAGCAGGTTCCTTGTCCTGTGTCTGTCTCTCCTCTTCCCACTCTGCCACCACCATCCTCATCCTCACACTTCCGTCAGGTAGCAAAGGACCCATAGAACAAGCTTGCAGTCCAAGGAGACAAGGAGGAAAACGAAACTTTTTGAAAAAGAGACCTACCCAAAGAGCGGGAGAGAGAATTAAAAAAACAACCACCACCAAACACCCTCGATGCTGGCCAGCCCATATGCTCCTTCCACAGCCTTGAGCGGGTTCTTTTTTCCCAATGGGTGTCTTTTCCGGAACGGATCCCGGGTGCCTTTTCTCCACCAGGGATGCCAGGACTTTATGGGGTGGTGGAGGAAAGGGTCCGTTCCTGGGAGTTGGGGTGGGTGAGGTTTAAGGGGGTGCCCTCTCACCCTCCCGGGGGGGGTGTCTTGGGATTTTTTGCAAGCCATTGAAACGCACTTTATGTAGTAGACTACTGTTATATAATATATATAAATATATTTTTCCTTTTTTTGGCCTCCCCTCCTTCCTCCCTCTTTCCCCCCCCCACTTTTGTTTTGTTTTGTTATGGTTTTGGTTTTATATTCGCAGTATCTCCAGGAGCTCCTTTTACACATCATGATGTATTTGAAAATAAAAGACAAGAAAATGAGGGGGGGGAGGAATGGCGAAAGAGGGGTTCAAGGAAAATTAAAAAGAGAAAAAACCACCAACCAGAAGAACCCCACACAAGTCAACGCGGTATTAAACCAACCGTTGCCAGTCTATAAAACAAAACAAAAAATGAAAGAAACAAACAATCTGCATGCTGTTGATAAGGGCTGGAGTAAAGGGAAACGAGTGCTTTTCTTTCCTTTCCTTTTTTTTAAAAGAAAATAAAGTGAAAATGGAAAGATGGGGTTTCCAGCCTGTTTGTGGGAGTGAAACAAAGCAGGGGGTTCAGGATGGGAGGGGGGGGGTCCTTGGTCTCCCAGGCGGTTCTCGTTGCGGTGCTGGGTTTCGTTTTCCTGGGGTCGGCATCGATCGTTGCCCGGAAGCAACGCTCAAGGCCCATGAGGAGATTTTAAAAGGCCGAGAGATGATTATGATTTCTTTTTGCCTCAGGTGGCAGAGACTTGAAGGCGTTGCCAAGGTGTGGGGGGACGGGATTCGGGGGGGCCCAAAGCTCTGCTCGGTGGGAGGCGCTCTCCCGTCCCTTGTGCCGAAGGAAGAGTCAACAGCCGGTCCCCGTGGCTTTTTGGCCACCCACGGGAGGGAGCGCCATGTTCTTCCGTTCCTCAGGCAGTGCAGTGTCTTGAGCCGCCCTGATCCCACGGGAGTCCCAGGAGAGCTCATGTTCGGGGTTATTTTTCTGGCAGCTGCCCACCGATCTCGTCGTCGACTGTGTGGCGTGGGAAGGGGCCTCAGAGGACCCTTGCCCCTCTCCTGGCAAGACTGGGGATGATGGGTGCTGTCATCCTAAATGTCTGGTGGGAAAAGTTGGAGCATGGCAGGACCCTCTTAAGCACAGATTATGCTTGTTTTTACCCGAGTCATGGCTGCTATACATTTCAGCCATCTTCCCAAGTCCGGAAAATTTCTGTGGGGGAAGAAAACGTCACCGTTTTCTATGTCCCATCACCCTCCCCCCTGCAAACCTGGCCCTCTTCAGATGTGTTGGGACTACACCTCCCATGAGGCTTAGCCAGCAAGCTGGGGAGGATGGGAGTTGTGTTCCCCACCACCTGCAAGGGTCGCCCAGTCAGAGTGGGATGCTGATGTAGAGATTCCAGATATTTTATGAGCAGGGGAACGAGAAATGTCGGAGAGCCTGTGGCGCTCTTTTCCCAGTGGCAGGAGGAGCATGTTCTTGGGGTCATCGCTGTCCGGATGGAGCCAGGCCGTGACCCCTGCCCAGTCCACCTTGACCCTGGTCGTATGCGCTACGCCCTTGTGGGGTGTGCAAAGCTTGCCTTGGGTGGGGGTCTCCTTCCTCATGCCTGTTGCCGGTGGCAAGCAGTTAGTCTATGGGTAGACTGCTGCTGGACAGGGAGGACTGACTCAGCTGTTCCTGCTAGTACACACACACACACCGGTAAGAGACCTGGCTGCTGCCATGGCCCTTCACATCCGAGACGCTTGGGGGCTGAGCCAGACGAGCCGCACACCTTGTTTCTTCTGCTCGGCTGTCCCGCCCAAGACCCTTCAGAGCGAAGCCACGAAGTTTGCCCTCGCTCTGCGCTGACTTGATCTGCCCAGCCAGCGAGCCTTGCCCATGTTGAGCCTTGCCGTACCCGGAGAGCAACGCCTCCCTCCCTCCTTTGGCTTTTTTGAGCTGGGAAAACTAAATTGCTTTGTAACAGGGTGCCGCAGCTCTCTGATTTTTTTTTCTCAACCTGAGTCTCTTGAACACCGACCATCATTCTGCAGCTGAAGAGAGCATCCAAGGAGGCCCAGCTGGAGTGCCCTTGCTCCTGAGCAAGTGCGCTGCCTCCCCCCCAGGCCCTGACACTAGCTGCTGCCCTCTGTCCATGCTCAGAGGGTAAGCTGAAGTCTCGGAAGCAGCTGAGGCTGATGCTCAGGGCAGGCCACGGGCGACTCTCCTCAGTTTGGCTTTGGCATGGGGTTTGGCCCACCCTTTGGTTTCCCTCCCCTGCTGGGCTGACTTGGGCTACCACGGCTGCCATGTGGGTGCGTGCTTCCGTCCACTGAGCTGGGCTGGTCCACGGAGCGTCCACCGTGTCCCCTTCATTCAGTGGCAGCGGAAGCTGAAAAACCCACTTCTAACTTGGACCAGGGGCCACGGTGGCCTGTCCGCTCTGCCACTTAATGGCGGCCACTTTGTCCGCCCCAAACCAGAAGTGGACTTGATGGACACGGCTGGTGTCCTGTTTTGGACCCTGGATCCACTCCATGGGGCTTGGGGCACCCCAGGCTGCGCGCAGACTTTGGCCGGACCCTGTCCCGGCGCCAGGTTTGCCCCGTTTCCCCAGACGCACGACTAAAACAGCAGCAGCAGCACAACCGCAGTTGGCACATCGTTTATTTTAATAAAGTCTGTTTCCAAAAGGAAGTTGATGGGTTTGGTTGTGTTGCTGGACACAGCACGGAAAAATGGGCCGCCTCCTGCCTGCCTCTTCCCCCCCCCCGATCCCCCAAGGACAGTCAGACGTCATCTGAAAAGTATTTGAAAAAGGATCTGATGGATCATTTGTAGCCGTCTGTTACTGCGTGGTTTCGGTTTTTAAGAAGTTCTTTTCTTGTCCTTTCTCACACCCCACATTTCTGCCCTGTGAGGCACAAAGGGGAGCTTGGGCCACAAAAAATGCCCCCAAGGCGGGAGGGGAGAGAGATCTTAGCCCCCTACCCTCAGCGAACACCCCCCTCCCCTTCAAACAATAATCCAACCAAGCAGATGCCAGGTTGGCATGCAAATACTTCAAGCATAAAACAAAAGGATTTGAAGCAACAACCCCCCAAAAAAGTTTGCAGGATTTAACAGTCCTGCCCTTTCATGCTCAGAATTACGAGTTTCAACTCATTCCACCCCAAACCCCACCCCGATATTTCTTTTGTTGCCTTCTCTTGCTCCCATGCTGGCACAATTCAGTTAAATTAAAATAAATTTTAAATAATAATAATAATAATAAAATCTGCTTTAAAGGTGCAACAAAATAAATCTGCATTCTTCTTCCAAAACAAAATCACCATGTCCACGAATAAATAATTGTTTAGAAAAAACACACACATACAAGTTAACACACCCGCTTTGCCCATATTTGGAAAGATTGGATGCCTTTGTGCACAGACCGACGAGACGGCCCCGTTCTTTTTACAAGCCGGACCTTGTGAGGACTAGAAACCTGAGCTGTTTGAGCTAGACGCCATTTCCCTCTGGATCACTCACTACCAGATCCATGGCCAATAAATGTCCGTAGGATCTCGGCCATGTCCTTGGAAAGGGTCAACTCTGATCCGAGTGGGAGAGGAGAGCGTAGGAACCCATCTGGGGGAAATGGAGACTCGGATCGAAGAGCGAGGACCGGAAGAGAAAAGGTGGTTTTCGTGGCCGGCTGCCCAGAAACCCCGGCTGGGAAGAGGCTGGCTCATTTTCGTCCTGTTTTGCACCACCCGAAAGAGCTCTTGAGAAGAACGACGACAGAAGGGTTGGAAAGGTCCCGCTCCAGCCAGGAGCAGGAAGTTGTCCCATCTGGAAGGCAGGGTTTCTCGGGGACCTCCCGCCACGAGGACACTTGAGCGAGTGAGCGAGCCAGGAGGGTGGAAGGCATGGAGAGGCCGTGGTTATTGCTCGTGAAAAACAAGAGAGAGCGAGCACAGGAGGGGGGGGAAAGAGCCGTCATATTTGCTACAAGGAGCTCTGAGCCAGTGTGAGGTAAACGCTGGGCCTTCGCTAGGTTTGGGGCACCTTCCTGTCTCAGCCGGAAGGGAAAAGAGACCCTTAAAACGGCATTTCCTGGCGGCGCCGGAGAGGCCCCTGCTTTGGCAAATCGGTGGGCCTGCAGGTGAGGAGGGGAAGACCTGGTCTGGAGGATCCACCCCCCTCCCTACACAAACACAGACACACACCCTCCGGGGAGGGATCAGAGGTGCCCGCCAACGGTGGCCAGGGTGCCGTCTCCCTCCTTGGTGCTCACGGCCAGAAGGCAGGCCTGGGGCAGCCTGGAGGCTGCAGGAGGGGTGCTCCCCATGTCTGGCGGACTCGGCCCTCCGGCTAGGAGAAGGCGCGGTCTACAGGCCCTCTGCTCACGGAGCTTCAGCAGTGGCCGGTGCCTCCTGCTAGCCCTCCATGTGCAACCCAGCAGGGCGGGAACGTCAGAGAGAGGACGCCCCTGTGCTCCTCCAAGATGGCGCCTCGCCCCGGTCCTTGCCGGAGCGCCATACATCCCCCGGCTGGCTGGCAAGGTCCACAGCAGCCCTGCCCAGTCCAGGAGGCACGAGAGAGAGCTGGAGAGAGGGGAAACAAGGAAGGTTGGCCACCTCCTCGTGGGCTTGGCCACATCTTCCTCCTCCCTCTACTCTGGACTCTGGTCGGGGGAAGCCTCCGCCACGGCCACCACGTGCTCGGGGCTCTCTCGGGGTTTCCTCAAGTGCATGTAGAACCTGTCCCCCAGGCCCCCCGAGATCTTGTCCATCAGGTCAGTGCCGAGGGGGCTCAAGGCCGGGCACTGCCCACCCTCGAGGCAGTCGTCGCCGTACGGGTCGGCCACTAGCTTGGCCTCCTCGGGCGGCTCCTCCTCGATGACCTGGATCGTGTCCCCAGCCTCCGAAGCCGGCGAGCCCACCTCCTCGTCTCCGGAGCTGACGATGCGGGGCAGGGTGCCTTGGTAGCGCCCCTCCAGGGGGTAGTTGACGCTGTCGCCGCGCCGCAAGGGGGTCCGGTGACGCTCGAGGGCCGAGGGGTAGCGGACGCCGGGGTCGCTGTACTGCTTAGCCCGCTGCCACTGCTTCCGGAGGTGGGTCCGGGAGCGGTGCTTGGCCCGCAGGGGCGACTCGTCGAACTGGGGGTCGTGGCGGACAAAGGCGTGGAAGAGGGCGTCTGTCTTCTCGTCGATGCTGTAGTCCCGGCGCGGCCAGGCCTCCCGGGCAGGGAAGGTCTGCCCGTAGGGGGCCCAGACCAGCGGGCTGTGGGGGGGCGGGCCCCCCACAGCGGCCACATCCTCCGGCTCTTCCTCCTCCAGCCATTCTTGGTCCTCTAAGCTCTCGAAAAGGGTGGCTTTCCGGCCAGCGCTGGTGAAACAGTGCCGCTTCTCCGAGGCGGTCTGGTCCTCCCCGCCTCGGGCCTCGATGGAGGCGTACCCGCTGTCCATCTGCAGCAACTTGCGGGTCCCGGCCTCCGACTCCAGGCTCTCCTGCTTGGGCTTCCCCCATGGCCGGTCGTCGCCCCCTCCCTTGGCTTCGTCGGCCAGCGAGGACGGGAAGCTGGGCAAGCCTCCCCCGGAGGAGAGGCTGCTGTCGCCCCCATCGCTGCGCACCGAGTCCCGGTCGTTGCCCGGCTCCGACGAGGCGTACAGCTCCAGCGAGGCCCGCAGGCTCCAGATGTCGTGGTAGAGCGGGGTGGGCAGCTGTTCCAAAGCGGGGGGCTCGGCAGGGGCAGCGGGCGGGGCGGGCGGCTCGGGGGGGGCTAGGCTGC